ATGAAGGTCAAGTTATATATGTGGTTAAACGTCTGTCTTTGTTGATGTTGTTGCTTTTGTTGGCTCTGTCATAAAACTTTCTCTTGTAAATAATTGTTAATGTGTGTACAATAACTTTAGTAATTCTCTTCCAAACTTTATCAAACTTGATCACCTAATTAATCAGTATTAAATCATCCCTTAGTACGAACGACATGTGTTCTGTGTGAAAATATCATGCAAGAATTGAGAAAGTACCAGTAGTAGCCAAATCTGATAAAACGTTTCGACTGTTTCTGCTGGTGATACAAATCTAAAGGTCACTGTCCCAGTGGAAATGTGCGTCGTTGTATGCGTTCAATGAAGTAAATCATTTATCTTGTAATAATATCATTGGTAATGCATCTCCCAAATCCCATGTCAATGTCAACTTGTGGAGAGAGTTGTTGCACTGTGTCATACACATTTGCAAACATACCAATAAAACCAGAAAACAAGATGTCAGATAATCGATATAAACACTCATATGAATATCCCTTTGGGTGCCAAACTTTTGATGGAGATCTGAAGCCAATGGAAAACTGTCCCTTTAGTCCAAAGTTATCAAAACAAAAATAATGTAAAAATACATAAGAAGCAATACATTGCATCCACATTTTGAATGGAAAATTGTACCCAAGAATATGTATTATTTATTTATTAATTGACAGTTATAAATTTTGGAAAACAAAATTCGCAAGAATTTGTTTCAGCTATTAGAATAGAATTATTGAGCTTTTATAATACTAATTTAAAAACTCACTACAAAGATTGCAGTGTTTGAAGATGTAGATTCTCAGGAGGCAACTAAGGACTATAGATAGTCGGAGCCAAAATAATAATCATAGGACTAACAAGTCTACCGTCGTAGATGAATTCTGTACCATGCATGGCATACAACAGAGCGTAAACAAGCGGCATCTATCGATCAACAGATTTAATAATGAATGACAGATTAGTTATGGTTTACTTACTAGTATATTACAACACTAGAGGGCGCACTCACAACCCAGGTGACCATCACATACACAATATTTGTTGCTTGCTCTTTCCAACCCAAAACCCTACACTAGGATATAGTTCCAATAAATCTATTATCATTGCACAATTTATATGTAACTAAAACTGATGGGTGAACCAAAATAACCCTACTACAGGTGGTATGCCAAACAATGCAAATTAAACTTCAAATATGCTACCTGTTACCATGGCAACAGTCAGGACACAAATAAAAACAACATCTTTAACAAATACACTGGAGGTACACTTCTTAACTAGTGATAATAAATGCTGCTTATATCAAATTGAAGCTAAACATGATATCAAAAATAAGAATACACTGTCAGATAATACTGTGCAAAACACCACCAAAACTATCCATAACTGTCCTCGATTTGAGTGTTCACAACAGACAATGCAGGAACTGATTGTCTTTGGTTATCACAGCTACAGTGCATTGGTCTGTTGCTGGTCAATCAAAGCACAATGAATGTTACGATCACTGTTGTTTACATGCAGTAAACTGTTCAAGCACAGTGTTTCAATATGTTTTTCATTTTGATAACGAGATAATATTTGTTTCATTTAAAAGATAAGAATGGTTTATATTTTTTAATATTGAATCAAGTTTGTATATAACATCTATAAACCCAGAAATGAAAAGAGGGCATCCATAACAGCTTTTGCCATGCCAATACATCATTTTTGTATTCATTCTAAATCCGTATTCATTATTTTTTCAAGATTTTAATTGCCCAGAGTTGTAATGTTTTGTTTGATACAATTTGCAGGGTTTTAGAGAAATTTACACTAACTGCCTGGAAATGGACAATTTAAATGTAACCTATATGTAGTTCATGATCAACACTGCTTACATTAATGAGATGTTTCTGAATGCATTGAGGAGTATGGTTAACATATTTATATGATTTGATTTGAGTTGACTGACAGTTAATTTTGTCATATTTAGATTTGGTAGTTGACTGAATATGAATAAAGATATTTACATGGTATAATCTTAAAAGGCTCTCTAATAGTTTAGGTGTAGCATACTCAACTTACATTATCCAATTTCTTAGACTTTTTCAGGCATTGTTCTTGGTGTACAAAATGCTGTGGGTATTGTTGGAGGTGTTGCTGCTTCAATATTTACAGACAGAACAAGATTGTTTGAGGAGACTGCTAAAGTGACTCTTGCACTTTCATCAGTATTCACATCTTTAATGATGGTGGTGAGTAGAACTTGTTCCCATAACATTGAAGCAAATGACGAGTTACATCGCCCTCACACTGATTCACTGCAGCTGAGTGAACCAAAGGTGTTGTAACGCATGTCGATCATGTAGTTAAATATAGTATAATTTGAACTGTTCTGTACATAAAATTTGGTTAAACTGATTTTGAGCAATCTATACCTATCATTGCACTTTACCACTGTGTAGTGTACATGTATGTGACTGATGCCAAAATTACTGTCTGCATGCCATAGTCATTATTATCAAAAGCATTTTTCGCAACAGCATGTTTTTAAAATTTAAAATAGCAATCATGAATAACACACAGTGTGTAATGAAGGACATTGCGACCCTTGACTATTTTGGGTTCAAAAGAGATGAAAAATATTATTTGGGAACATTGTAGGAATATTAAAATTCATCATGACAGTAGGATAATTAGTTATTTTCCATTGTTCATCTATTTCCAACAGACTTCCTGTATTCCTCATCAAGAAGTGTTGATTGTAATATTTTTTATGTGTCAAGGTATTGTTTCAAGTGCATCCTACCCAGTCACTGTAGAATTGATGATTGAAACATCATATCCAGTAGCAGAAGCCACATCACTTGGACTTTCTCTGATTGTTATGTAAGAATATAATGATGGGGATGTAATTCAATTTCAATGTTAGGTTATCTCGTCACATCAAGTTTCTGACTGCTGTTGATTATCAGTGGAAATACCAGATGTGCATGATGCTGTTTACGTTTCTGTTCACTACTACCATCTCCTTGAATATTTGCTTGTCATCATGGGAATTAAACACCTGAAACTGATAGTGTTTTAGTGGTTAGATTGATATTGCACTGTATTTGACTACCTGCTTGGGTAGAGGTAAATACTTCCATCGTCACTCGTTTTTGCAGTTTGTGATGCATGATGTATTTGATTTTTAGCTCCCGTGACACGGAGCTTATGTGGTACCGGTGTCTGTGACTCTGTGACTAAAATTTGTTCCACTGATAACTCAAGATCTACAATTTCAAATCAAATGAAATTTGGCACACAGCTAATATATGATGAGTAGATGCGCTGATTAGATTGTAGTGCAATTCCATGCATATTAATTAGTCAATAATTGCATTAATTAGTCCCCGTTCAGACGCAGTATCTGTATCTTAGAAATGCCTGGACCAATCACAATCAAACTTCACACATACATCATACATGATATTATACATATGCACATCAGTGTGTTTCACGATCTGATTCAAGATGGCCGAATGACCATTTTTGTACTGAAAAATCATCAAAATTAAGCATTTATCGGCAGATGGATTTTGTTCAAACTTGGTATATACATTGGACATTATAGGACGTTGATGTACATCATTTTGTTTTTCAGATAAGATTCAAAACGGTCGACTGGCGACCATTTTGTTTTAATGAATGTGGTTCTAGTGCCATATCTCTGACTTGCAGAAATATCAAGCATTTCTGGCATTTATGGATGGATTTCGTTTGGTACATACATTAGACATTACAGGTTCCTGATGCACGTCATTTCATTTCTCAGATTAGATTCAAAATGGCTGACTGGTGGCCATTTTTCTTTAATGAATGGGCTTCTAGAGCCATATCTCTGACATGCTTTGACTGATTATCTTTAAATTTTATATATTTATTATACATCATGTTATAGATATATGCATGTATTAAAAATGAATGATTTTGTTTCAATTAATGCTGTTCCAGAGCAATATCTCGCAATGTGGACATGTACTCGTTTGACGATCAGATTCAAATGTCAATCATTTTAATTTTAAACAATCATCATAATCATATTCCTGACATGGTTATATTCCAGCTATATTACAATAAACAAAACTATATATCTTAAATTAGATAACTAACGGGGACTGTGCCATGCATGACTTGTTAGTACATTATTGTGTCAGCCTGAAACAAAATATCACACGCTAGCTGTTATTTGTCTGGCAAAAGATCTACCATACTTGTCACTAAAACCAGTCTCCAAATTCAAAACCATATATAATATTCACAATTCATTCTTCCAGTCTGTTGATTGTAACACAATTATACAATTATTTTTAGCTTTTTCATTTTTCATTCTACTTTCTGTAGTCTCTCACCAATCACACTTTAAATTATTGTTTCATTCAATTCTTGGCTAATCTTATAACCCATTACCGGTAGTCTAAAGTCAAGGCTCTATAAGTTAACTTTTGACCCCTTATACTCATGGCTCTTAGTTTTGATGTTTGCTAGGCATTGCTAACCTTTCATAGATAATGTATTGCTGGATGTTATATATAAGCTACATAAACAATCTAAACAATCATAATCACTGTAAAGGCCATTGACCACCTTGAGTGGTTGTTTTGCTCTGCTAAGGTGTTACAGGTCGTATCGTCATGATATTATGATACTTTAGTAAGTGAGTAATTTTTGTATGAAGTGTATCATATATCATTACATGTACCATAATTAGTATACATATGGTTCTTCTTGCAGGCATGTACAAGCCATAATATTTACATTTGTGTTAGAGTCTTTGAGTCGACCAATGACTGAATATGAGAGAATACATCAGAAATGCATTTCTGCTCATCACAATCCATCTTATAATAATACCCAACCAAAAGACATGACAGGTAAGTATAGCTAGTCTTTAGTTTAAGGTAACAATACTAAACAGTTCGTTTGTCAACGAACTGTTTTCTGGCTTTTGCTGGATGATTTATTTTTTACAAAGCTGAATTTTCATAGATATTTATTAAGAGCAAATGTATGAATAAGCCAAATCTTTTTATTTCACACTCCTATATATTGATGTGTATTTTCTATCAACAATCTTGAAATATATATTTTAATTACATCTAACTTGAGTCTACTGAATTTGACTCAAGGGCCAGCTTTCTACTAGACTTTATGAATTATTTTAATTTAATTAAATTATTTTCAATTTACCAACATAATTTTTCATGTCTTTGCAGCAATATCCCACTCATTCATTTATTCTATTCCATTCCGTGTTTACTTATCATTCATCTTTACTAAAAGATCAGTTTCATACAAACAATTATACAGCAATATCTATTTGGATTTTATGGATATCAATTTGAACCTGAAGTTTACAATCTACTGCATTCAAATACTGACATTTGCTGTTTTTATTTTTATGATAAAGTTCTCTCATATAACATATATGTTCATACTTTATCACTTTTTTATGCTCAGTTGCCATGTTGTTTTATGCCGGTCTCTCCGCACTACAAGCTATTGGAATCATTATATTCTTTAAGTCAGAGAACAGAAGAATAAAGAAAGAGAAGATTGAAAAAATAATAGTAAATAACCAATGCTCAATGAATGAAGATAAACCACTAAATATTTAGGACGTTTTATGAGTAGTTTCTTTTTCAACCTACAATATAATATATATGTATAAGTTCTTATATGATTCATATATGATGTCATTAACAGCAATCTTCTTACATACACAAAATCAAATTTTGATTTCATCAAACAATTTTATCTGTTATTGAAATGCAATGGTCAATGTTGATTTTTCTTATTTTAATTCTCAAATACAATCTATTTCCCCATAGCCAATAAAACAATCAAATATTAATTATATAAGAATAATATACTATTTTATTTGTTCGGAAGGTCTCAAAAATAAATGATGTGAGAATTGTTGTCCAATCTAGATGCAGTGTTAAGACAATTAGTTAGCTCTACAATGAAAGCAGATGATCATATTTTTACAGTATGGCTTTAATCAATACCACTTTTTATATCTTAACATTTCTGTCGGTTACACATTGTACTTGTTGTAATGAATTTTTAATTTGGTGTATAGCAGGTTTTTAATGAAATACTGCTACAACATGTCTTCTTTTTTAGATGTTAACTCAAAAAAACACTGTTTAGTTCAGAGTGAGTCAGTGACCAAATCATGATGTTTTTGCATATGTTTGTTGAATGCCGATGAATGAGACATTCCTTGAACTGAAAGAAACTTGTTGAAATACTAAATTACTACCCTTTACATCTAAATTTATAGCTATTACTCTATAACACATGATAAAATAAAGTAACATATTAAAATCATTATCCATCAAGCATTTTTCAATAAAATAGATTTTGTAGATCTATTTTTCAACAATGTAATAGCATTCCAATAAGAACATAATGTGCTGCCTTGCTGGCAGATTTATTGCTTTATTCATATGAAGCTGAGTTTCTACAGTGCAAAAAAGCCAAATCCTTTAATTTCACATTTGGATATATTGATGATTTACTTTCACTCATCAAACCTAAATTTAGTGATTATATCCAGTTAACGCTAGTTTTCCAGATAATATATTACATTTAAGATGTTTTTAATCCCCGTTCAGGCTTTCAGGACTTTCTTTCTTTTTACTTTCTTTTAATTTTCAAGTTGCTGCAAGTTATCTCTCACATTTTCTCGGAGACTCTGCAGCAGATGTAAATGAAACTTGGCAGGTTGATGAACAAGTCTGTGTTACATATGCACGTAATTTTTTTTTTCCAGATCTGAAAATCCTAAGTTGGTCTTTTTCAAGATTTTCATCGAAAATTACCTCTCTCTACTACACTGACAGAGCAACTGCTCAGAATAATTGATTCTGTTAAATTCAGATTCATGAATTCCTGATTCACAAGTTTTACCAAATGTATTCGATCGGTAGTGTATACTTTTCAGACCTCAGAACCAATATCTCAGAACTCAATTTAAAAATAGCTTCCTTTTCATTGGAAGTCATCTTCTAGGTTATTATCAATATGACCACACCCTACCCAAAAAATATGCAAATTAGCTAAATCCAGTTATTTCCTTTGATCTCAACAACCATTGAGCCGATTTTGTTCATATTTGGTAGGATTGCACCTTGACACAAGTAGATGTGCGTCTGACAGTATGGCCACGCCCTCCCAAAAATATGCAAATTAGATCAATGCCGTTATTTGCTCTTATCCCAGGAACCATTGGGCCAATTTTGTTCATGCTTGGTAGGATTACACCTTGACATGAGTAGATGTGCTTCTGACAGTAATGACCACACCCTCCCAAAAAATATGCAAATTAAATCAATGCAGGTATTTGCTGCTACAAATGTATCTCTGCCACAACCATGTTGATTTTATTCATATTTGGTATTATTACACCTTGGCACAAGTAGATGTGCTTTTGGCAATAATGACCACACCCTCCCAAAAATGTGCAAATTAAAACAATACAGTTATTTGATCTTTGATTTGACCCAGGTCCTGGTAATATACCAAGACCTTAATTAACAAAGAAGTCATGTACATCTAGGTTCACTCAGATTATTAATGTAGTTTCTTGAGTAAGTATACATGTGTGACAAATAGTTTTGTTGCACTTAGTAGATTTTGAAGATGGGTCAGTGGAGTTTTTAGTTGTCAGTACAAAACTAGATTATGGGAAATCACTTTTTGATGAGTTGTACCCACATAGAGTACGTATTCATTCACCTGTCTGCAGATTTTCCTTGTACTACCTCATAATCAAATAACAGGGACTGTCACATTCATGTCTTGTTAATTTGACATCATAGATTTTCCACACCTTCAGAGCTATACTCCACTCTGTCCTACCTATATATTTCAACACCTTCAGGGCTATATCCCACTCTCTCCTACCTATATATTTCAACACCTTCAGGGCTATATCCCACCCTCTCCTATCTATATATTTCCACACCTTCAGATCTATATCCCACTCTCTCCTACCCATGTATTTTCACACATTCATATCTATATCCCACCCTCTCCTATCTATATATTTCCACACCTTCAGATCTATATCCCACTCTCTCCTACCCATGTATTTCCACACCTTCATATCTATATCCCACTCTCTCCTACCTATATATTTCCACACCGTCAGAGCTATATCCACCCTCTCCTATCTATATATTTCCACACCTTCAAAGATATATCCCACTCTCTCCTACCTATATATTTCAACACCTTTAGATCTATATTCCACTCTCTCCTACCTATATATTTCCACACCTTCAGATCTATATCCCACTCTCTCCTACCCATGTATTTCCACACCTTCATATCTATATCCCACTCTCTCCTACCTATATATTTCCACACCTTCAGAGCTATATTCCACTCTCTCCTACCTATATATTTCAACACCGTCAGAGCTATATCCCACCCTCTCCTATCTATATATTTCCACACCTTCAAAGATATATCCCACTCTCTCCTACCTATATATTTCAACACCTTTAGATCTATATTCCACTCCTCTCCTACCTATATATTTCCACACCTTCAGATCTATATCCCACCTCTCTCCTACCTATATATTTCCACACCTTCAGATCTATACCCACTCTCTCCTACCTATATATTTCAACACCTTTAGATCTATATCCTATTCTCTCCTACCTATATATTTCCACACCGTCAATGCTATATCCCCTCTCTCCTACCTATATATTTCCACACCATCAGAGCTATATCCCACTCTCTCCTACCTAT